TGCTACCATTGCCCTGGACTCACCAGCATTCTTCTTTGGAAACTGATTTCAGAATCTATTAAGATTCACGTGGGATATTCAGGTCCACGTGTGACAATTTGTTTCATCTGGCACGTCACTGCGTCTTTCACTAATACCACCTCTTTTCTTTCCCAGGCCCAGGGCATCCCCTCTGTGGCCCCATGTCAGTACCCAGCCAGAGGGCCCACAGCAGCTTGTATCACTTCAGGTTTTGTTCTTCTAGTGTCGGGCCACATCACGACCCCCTCTTCCCGTTGATTTGCCGGTACTTGGCCTCCTCCCAGAAGCATTTCCAGGTTGAGCAGAAGGGGCTCCCCTGCTTTCCTACCCCCTGGACCCGCACTGGCATCCTACACTCCCACAGCCCTCCCGTCACCCGCTCCTGCTGGCCTGTGCACACCGTCGCCCATGGGTGACCTCAGCCCCTCACAGTCCACTCTTGTCTGGCTTATGTCTGTGGTCTGTGGGTCCTCGAGCTTGTGACAGCTCACCTCAGGCTCCTGCAGGCTCAGGAGGGCAGGGGCAGGACCAGGACCTCCGCTGAGCACAGACAGCAGGCTCAGGGTGCCCTGGCTGTTGCCTTCTCTAAGTGCATCGACTTTTCACCACGTGCCGGGGCTTGGGCTCCTAGCCCTTGAAGCGTCCTTATTCTGCCTGGAGGCTCAGCCAACAGGGCGAAGCTCCACTGATTCTCATTATTTGCAGTTGTCATGTTCTGAATGTCGCTGCCAGAACTGAACCACTGCTCCTGGGGGAAATACACAGTTAGGTTCCAGGTTAGCCCCTGGTCAGGACATTTTTGTCAACCAGTCAATACACAACCTTGTTTTATGTGTGTTTCTGTTCAAAGACACCTTATTCATATGTACTGTTGTTTCGTTAACATTGAACTCACAGCCAACGGCAGTAAAACTCATGCCTGAATGAAGTTCATCTAACCCACCCACATGTTTTCTCCATAAGGCACATCACAGCCTCCTTGCCCTTAGGAACAGTAGATAGAACTTCAGCACTACACTTGGGGACCATTTTAGACAGTGAAATCACCAGCAAAAAGCACAAAGTGGGAAAAGTGGGACACTAAATAGACCAGGAGAAGGACATTTGTTTACAGTCTGAGAGTCGAAACAGGAAGGCAGAGGACTGCCTCGTTCCACTTCGGCTGGGAATGTCGAATTTTTTAACACTTTGTACATGTCCAGAATGACCGCAAAACTGCCACGAGCATTGGTCTGGGGACTACAGATACATTTCAGTGAGTAGACAGCTTTGCAACTGTGAGTAATGAGGATTGCTTGTATATACAGAGAGAAGAATGAAGCTTCAGAGAGTGGAGAGGAGGGAACAGCTGGGCAGACAAAGTTCACTGAGGTTTATCACTAGAGTAGATTTCCAGAGATAAGTAAGACCCATCTCCCCGCCCCCCCACCCAGGTAGAGGGCATTTGGGGCAAAGCGTGCATCGTGCACAAAGGCATCAGACAAGATGGGGTGGAGTAATTACTTCCTTGGGATGAAGATGGAAAAACCAGAGGGGACATGTTCGGAAGACATGTCAGGACTCTCTGATGGACAGCTGGCTGGTTTTGCCCAGACTCTCAGGTCAGTCAAACCATAGGGCAGAACCTAAAAGAAGTCAGTGGTGAGTGAATTCTACAGAAATGGGGCATGAAGGTGCCGTCTAGCACAGAATAGATGGTCAATAAACACCTAGTGGATAAATGAATTATATATATATAACAGAATATATATACATATATAACAGAATGAGGCTAAATGGAAGAGAGGGGAAAAGGAAAAGAAAGAGAGAGAGGAGCAGCAGGGGCTTAAGCAAGCCAGCTGGGAGACGGTGAGGTTCTCATTTTCCTGTAGTCAGCTGCAATGCTTCCTCTGGCTGGAGAAGGAAATGTGGCCACGGGAGTGGAAGGAGGGCTGCCTGGAGAGAAGAGCATGGGTAAATGCAAGTCTGGTCTGTACCTATGACTACTGTGTCAGTTTCATTCACTCTCAGGCTACACAAATCTTCCACAGGGCTCTGAAAACCCAATGCGTGACCGAGTGCTTAGGAACGGTTTGGACTGGTTCCCACAGCCTGGAAGGAAGCCAAGGAGGAGGGAACAGGAAAAGCACCCGACAAGAGCAGCCTGACATCTGGCATCAGGGCTCTCCTCCAATTTCCTCACAGTTTTCAATCCAGCCCTGCACCCAATGGCTTAGTAGTTCCACATCTCCAATTTATTCATCCAACGCTACCTGTGAGGCCATGTCACGGCCCCCACTGGTGTTTCTCCATTTGAATGGAATGGTTGCTGAATATTTACCTATGCTTTGACAACCTCCATTGATGCCAAATGAGAGGAAAAAACTACAACCACCTTCTCTCCCCAGTACAAACTCACACTCAGCGTGGATAATCACAAAGCCTCCACAGACTAACAGATGAAAAGAAATGAGCAGTCAACACAAACACTGAGCCCTCTTTGTGGTGTCGAGGCAGCAGTTGGGGAGGGAGAAGGGAGGCGAAGACCACCCCTTCTCCTGGTTGAAGGCGTCACTGAAAAGTACAGGGAAGGAAAAAGAAAAAAAAAAGTACAGGGAAGGGGCCAGCTGTGTCGAGAGGGAGGATGCTAAGAACCTGGTCATTTATGTGCATGTTCCCGAGTCACAGGTCAGGAGTCCTTAGCACACTGCTGCGGAGGGAGCTTCCTTTGATGGCTCAGAACCGGCATGATCTCTTTTACATTAATTGTATGTGTGTGTGTGTGTGTGTGTTTGAGGGTGAGGTTTTTTTTTTTAAACATCTTTATTGGAGTATAATTGCTTTACAGTGGTGTGTTAGTTTCTGCTTTATAACAAAGTGAATCAGCTATACATATACATATATCCCCATATCTCCTCCCTCTTGCGTCTCCCTCCCAATCCGAGGGTGAGGTTTTAAGACTAATCCACGGGATGAATTTTTTCATGCAAATAGAATGGTCTGTGGTGGACCCAAGATTATAGAGCAGGAAGATAAAGGCATTTAGCTCTGAACCCTAATACTGTCTCTGCTCCCCACTCTCCTGCAAGAATTCCACCTTCTACTCATCCGACCCAGCCTCACGGGGGCTTGGCTGGGAAGCGTGGAGCGAGGGGGAGGGGAATGGGATCACACACCCTCAGCCAGCAACTGGTATGCCTGCACACAACAGTGCTCTAGACATATGTGCTTCAGGAACGAATTGGTGACTTAGTCACTGACCTCTTCTTGCCACTTTTTAGCAACTTTCCCCAAATCCCGCTCTTCCCTTCTCCCCAGCATGGAAATGCCTTGGAATTTCTGCCCTTGCGTCAGGATGTCAGGATAGTGGCAGGATGCTCAGAGGTGGGGACTCCTGGCTACCTGCCCCAGGCTGCTCTGGCCTTAGCTGGTCCTGGGGTGGAGGCCACCAGGGAACTGTGAGTGCAGAGAGGTCAACTTCAGCTCCTCAAAACATGGGAGTCTCCCGTCCCCAAGAGACCTTCCCAGTCTTTGGGACAGTTGGGCTGTGAACTGGTCAAGAGAGGTATATGGCCCAGCTCCTGACTCAAGACCCCTGCTTGAGTGGCTGGATGAGGAGGGACGGCAGATAAGCCTAATGGAACCAGCCACAGAGGAAGCGCAAAGTGGCGTTTCACCCAGGAACACAGTCAAAGCTGCAGGTGGGTGGGTGAGCAGTGTGAGGCAGCTCATCAGGCGTGGTTTAATTTCTTCTCGGTGATGTCTTCTGCTTTATTTTCAATACAATCAGGACAAGACGTATCCAGCAGTCACTCTCCCACCTGGTACCTGGTACAGCATCACTTGCGTCTATTGCCATGCAGCTTAGCGCCCACTCGAGCACCCCCGAGGCCCCCCACAGGGCAGCATGCATGGGTTTCTGATGTCTGTTGGGGGCAGTCTAGCCCACGTGGGCCCGTAGCCAGAATAGCTTGCAGGTGAGAGTGTCCAGGGCACAGGCAGGCAGGAGGCCCAGAGGTGAACGTGGGATTCGGAAGAACAGGAACAGGAGGGCTCCCGCCAGCCCCTCGTGTTAGTTCAAATACCTCAGACTCAATACTCACAGTCCATCTTTCCTCCTGTCCCTGGATTATTTCCTCAGCCTCGCCCCTCCTCCAGAACGTCAGGAGAACTTTCTGCACTTGAGCTTGACTTGAGGGAAGGAGAGAATTTCGATTAGCAAAGAGGAAGACAGGTGAGGATGTGGTGATTAAAGGTGAAGGCCCCTCCCCTCGGTTCCTGAATCACTCCTCTCCTGGTGGAGGGAGTGGGTGGAAAGAGTGGGTTCCGGCCAGGAACCATTCACCAAGTAGCTGGAAACATCTGCCCCGAGCAGGTCCACCTAGGGCTCTACAGAGGGTGCAGCGAGCAAGGCTTGGCTCCCCCAGTTTGTGCCACCCCAGCTGCCCGCTGGGGGAGGACGGGGCAGAGAATGCCGTCTGGACACAGGCCCGCTCTCACCCCCTGGGTCTTCTCAGGTGACTGTCAGGTCAGAGAGGCTCCCTCTTCAGATAATACAGCTCAGGTGAAAGAGGCTTAGGTGGGTCTCCATGGCAACCGCCAATCAGGACCTAGGCCGCCTCCAGGGTTCATCAGAGGAACTGTGTGGTTCCGGCCTCTAGGGACACACACACACACACACACACACACACACACACACACACACACCACACCACACCACACCACACCACAAACACCAGTCCAGGGTGCATCCCTTCTCTGGCCAGTGTTTTTTTCTCTCAGCACAACTTCTGAGAGATAGAGAGGAAAAAGCATGAGACAGCAACCAGCAACACAAGAGAAAAAGGAAGGAGGCGTTTAGATTCAGTCTTCCCTCTACCCTGTCCTCCTGTGGCTGCCGAAATTTCTGCGTTTCCCCGGAGATCCAGACACTCTTTCCTCCCAGACCGGGAAGCAGAAAGCAAGACCCCCGTGGGACCTTTCACCTGCACAGAGCCGGACCTCAGAAAACCAGGTAAGAGGGTCGCCTCCCCAGGGGACAGCAGCTACCCCACCGGCATCCCAAGAGCAGTCGTCGCGCCTTTAGAGGTTAGAGCAGAGGCCGGGAGAGACTGCGCTGGGCCCGGCGGCCTCGGGGCTGGGGCAGATGGGGACGGCTCACTGAGCAGGCCAAGTACAGTGAGGGGAGGCCCCACCTGTCCCCACTGGTCCCCCAAGAGGCGGAGGACTCTACAGCGTCCTTGGGGCCGTGGCCTGGTCCCTGCTTTATAAACTCACGGGAAGCCACAGCTTCTGTCGGGTCTGGAGGCAGCAAGCCCGTCTGGGAGGACCCAGCCTGCGCCTTTACCCCTCTGCTTTTACGGGGAGGACCCAAGCAGGGGAAAGCAAGGGCAAACGCAAATCGGAGATTTTCTCATTGATCTGAGCACTGTGACTCGAGCACCATGAAGTGCGAGGCTCAGAGCAGGCTCGCAGGTCACAACAGTGACCAAGACATGTGGGTGATGTGTGGGCCTCAGTCCCTCTGGCCACAGAGCCGTCTGTGAGTCCCCATAACACGCCCGGAAAAGCAGGTCTAGATGGAGCGGGGAGGGGCTTCAGGGAGAGGATCAGGCTTGGGAAGGAGCGTCTGAGTGGCCACCGTGGGATCAGCCCCCTCCTACTGGTCAGCTGGAGGGGGATTTCTATCATCTGAAGGCCAGGGCTCTCCCCTCTGACAGAGTCCTGGGAGCCTCCCCTGAGACAGAGACAAGGGTGTCTCCCTTCAGACAAGGACCATTGTGGCTTCTCTCAGAAGAAGACCAGGGTGTCTCCCTTCAGACAAGGACCAGGGCATCTCCCTTGAGACAGAGACCAGGGCATCTCCCCTCACAGAGCTCATAGCCGAGTCGGGGAAAGAGAAATCTAACCCCAAAAGGGAGAAACGTGTGTGTTACAGATACTGTGATGAGAGCCGTTCTACCTCAGCGGGGCAGTGAGGGGCAGGCTGCAGGGGGAGCTGACCCTTGAGGTGGGTCTTAAAAGATGAGCAGATGTTTTCAGGTGGGCGGAGGCCCACAGGTCAGGCTGAGTCCCGCCTGGCTTCGTGGATACAGGTTATTTTTCTATGATGCCAAAGAGGAATAGGTCAGTTTGTAATCTGTAAAGTTGGTCTTGGCAAAAACAGGGCTCGGAGGAAGGTCGGTAGGCGGCGGGGGGTGGTGGTGGTGGAGTGGGGAGCACCGACTCTCCGCACCTGCTTCGAGGCCTCTGCCCCGCCCCAGCCCCCCCCCCGGCCCCGCCCCGCCCCCCCCGCCCCCCCCCCCCCCCCCCCCCCCCCCCCCCACATTGTTCTCACTGCTGAGATGCCCCTGGTCTCCTCCAGTGCTAACTGCCTGAACCAGACTCCTCCTGCCCTTGAGGGATGGGGTTGGTTTCTCTTTAGCGCATCTAACGAGCCACAGCTGGTGACAGTGTCGCCCAGGGAGCCAGGAAAAGACATCCAGAGATGTTCAAAAATAGGCTGCAGGGAAGGCTCAGAGCATGTGCGGGTGGGAGGGTAATGAAGGGGAAAGGAAGGAGAAAGAAAAGCAAAGGATGGAGGAGAAAGGACTTGATGAGGGCCGCCACAGGGCAGCAATAGAATATGTGAAGGCTTTCCTAAGGTCGCTGGGACCCGAGGGCCCAGCAAGGCCAGGAGCAGGGCTGGGGTCAGGCTTACACCAAGCCAAGGGGTCCTTGACCCTTTAGAAGTATGCAAAGCCTGTGGGCACATTCTCGGCAAAATGTTTCCAAATGCACACAAGTGAGTTCATACGATTACAGAAGAAATCACTATGTTGAAATTTAGCTATCAATTTGTTTTTTCTGAAACCAGGCCCCTATCAAAAAACAATTTCAGATATAGTAATATACGTGCCTCTGTATTCACATGTAAAATAATAAAATCTGTGGCGGGGCTAATAAGTACCATGATTTCGTAGTAGTGACGAGCACAAACGATATTTCAAGAATAACAATTTCAGAGTGTTATGAAAAGATCCGTGACCTCTGTGGGAGATAAAGCCACAGGTGCAGTAATACTGCCGTGGTCGGGGGCCTGCATTCATAACTGACAGAAATACTTCATTTCAGTTAAAGGTAGTGGAAATAAAGATTTTTTTTTCCTATCCGAGTTTATAAACCTCTGAATTCTCCCTATGGGTCCCAGGGTACAAATCCCTGCCCCAAGGGACAGACAGTCACAGACCTAGATGAACCCACTTCTTGTTAGTTTATAAAGCACGTACAGGGACGTTACCTTATTCAATCTTCACAGTAACTTGTAGTAGGTACCTTATTACCCCATCTTACAGATAGGGAAACTGAGGCTTGGAGTAATGAAGGTGGCTTGGACAGGCAGCATTGGGTAGGAAGGGAAGGGCATAGGAGTTGAACTTAGGTTTTCTCTGCTAAAACCTTGGCTCTCCACTACCCCACCCGCCCAACCGACATGGGCCTTCCTCCTCTGAACTGACGAGGAACCAAAGAGCAGTGGCCTGCTGTTTGCTGTACTGGGTGTCAGCGCCCTTCCAGACAGTGGAATGGCACCACTGCAGCCCTGAGATCGCTTATCTCATTGTGTCCATCCCTGTCTTGAGTGCATGCTCCTGGAGGGAGCCCCAGACCTGCAGAGTGACAGTTAAACTGCACACACGCCCCACTGTGTTTGCTGAGTCGTGAATGTATCAGAACTGGGCCTGGGCTTCAGCCTCCCCACCCCAGACCCACCCAGCACACGCCACTGTTTGCTACCTCAACACCAAACCCACCTGTGGAGAAATGCCTCAGCACTACCCACGAGTACAATATAAACCATGCGCAGAGGTGCTGAGGGGCAAGTCAAGCCTACCAGGTAGAATGAATCGCGAAGGCTTCCTGCAGAAAATGAGTTCTGAGCTAGCTTTGTTCCAACTTTTAAATTACGAATTGCTCAAACATGCAATAAAGTTGGAAGAAATGTGCAATAAACAGCCATAAATACCCCTGGACAAAATGATTGTTAATATTTTGCCATTTTTGCCCCATCTAGATGCATGTGTATGTATATACACACAACATTTTCTTTTTTTTTTTTTTTTTTGCGGTACGTGGGCCTTCCACCGCTGCGGCCTCTCCCACTACAGAGCACAGGCCCCGGATGCGCAGGCCCAGAGGCCACGGCCCATGGGCCCAGCCACTCCACGGCATGTGGGATCCTCCCAGACCGGGGCACGAACCCGTGTCCCCTGCATCGGCAGGTGGACTCTCAACCACTGTGCCACCAGGGAAGCCCCACACAACATTTTCTGAATGATTCAGATGTAAGACTTTGAAGACATCATGATACTTTAACCAGGAAGACGTCAGCATCGCCTCCCAAGATTGGGCTATTTGTCAAGATTCCCCTATCACCATAATACCATTTTTATACCCAAGAAAATCAACACTCATTCCCTAACATACAGCTCATATTCATATTTCCCCAAATGTCCTAATTTTTTAAAAATAAGGATTCAATCAATGTTCATGAATTGGAGACAGATTGTAGGTGCTGTTGCCTGAATGGGAAGGTCCTGGAGTCACCATGGCCAGGAGGTGAGCAGGAGTGAGGGGCCTTAGCTAAACTGAGGAGCTTGGCTCTGCCACAGGGGTTAATCCAACGCAAGGGAAAGGCAGAATCCAACTGTGCAAAGCACCCAGAGGAGACCACCCAACAGCAGTTTTGATGAGCCTTCTGGGCGTCTTGAATCTTAATCAGACCCCCCCCCCCCCACCATCAGGTGCTTCCCAACACAGACTCACACGGCCTCACTTAGGTCCTGAGGAGGCCCTGGGATAAGCCAACCACCTCTGGCATCCTCTGGCCCACCTGCCTCTCTGTCCCTGTGTCCCTCCCTCCTTCTCTCCCTCCCTCCACCTCTCCCTCCCTCCTTCTCTCCCTCCCTTCATCTCTCCCTCCCTCCTTGGCCCTTAAGAACTTAATCAGACCTGCTGAAGAGCCTCCATGAGAACAGCTGGCACCAGAGACAGAAATAGCTCGGGCAGAAACCTCGTCTCTGTCAAAGCCTCCAGCCCGGGCTGGGAGGCAGGGATTGGGGGAAGGAGACATCTCAAACACCACACCCCCGTCAGGCCCCTGTGAGAGCCCACCTCCCCGGGCCAGAGCAGCTCAGAGCCTACAGAGCCCAGGATTCAGGTGGGATCACCGCCCCAGGCTCTGCCATCTGTCGTGGGCTTGGCACCCATCTCAGAGGCCTGCTCGGGTGAAGAGCACAGCCTTCCACCTGGGAAGAGGCCGCCTCCCACCCCCAGCTGCGCTCTGGCTTCCCCCACCTGCAGGGATGAGGAGTCTGGGGTATTACAGAGAAGTGCCCACCCTGAGGTCACTTGCCCTCCAGGTCAGGTCTTAGGTGCTGATATCCAGAGCTCCTTGCCCAGACAGTCGCCCGCCCACTTCCAGAGCCAGAGCAGGCCACCTCCCTGGGCCCAGTCTTCTGAGGGTGAATGACATCACCGTGGGAGCAACGCTAGGGCTGAGGGGGCCAAAGAGACACCGTTGGTAGGGGTGTGGGTGGGCCCTGGACGTGAAGCTGGGGCACCCTCTGCATATTTGCAAGGCCCCTCATGGTGTGACTAGAGAGAGGGGACAGGCTGAGGGCCAGCAGCTGGCTCAACACACACCTCCATGTATGGAGGTGCAAAGAACCCTTTGGCATCCAAGAATTCTCAGCTTGAATCAGACCCTCCCAGTTGTTACAAAGGTGTATTTAACAAGGAAGGAAGCAGAAGGTATTTTATTGAATAGTCTGTTAGCTTAATTTGTAACTTATGAATATTTAAATATATGGTACGTGAGCCTCCATCTACAGCACTGCTCCAGGTCCCTTGCACATGTGAGCCGTGGGCCTGCTACTCAAGCCCAGTGCCCCCCACCAGGCCTGGAGTGGATGTTAGGACGCCAGGCTTCCTAGAGACAAAAGTTGTCTTCAGGCCTCCCACTTCCTCTTTCTTCTATATTTCTTCCTGCTGCAGGAAGACCCTCCAACACCAAACCATTCTCTTGCTGCCTCCTTTCAGCTTAAATGCAATTCCAGACTAAGAAGAAATAAAGGTCCTTAAGGAGGGCAGCACTTGACCCAAAGATGAATCCCTCAAAATGGGCTTAGAAAGGGTGAGAAATTTTGGAATGGGAAGGGATTGCCTAGGTAGATTTCTGGCCCAGCTGCACACCCACACACACACCCACACACACCCACCCACCCCCATCCCACCCCACCCCCGCCCCACACACACACAGCAAGGACTAAAGCACCACATGGCAACATTATCCATCACTCTGGATGTTAGACAATAAGTATCACTCCATTTATTTATGGATGTCCATTGAGCACTTGCTATAGGCCAGACCCTGTGCCTGGTGCTGAGGCCTGGGTAGGATGCTGCTCAAGACCTGGTTCCTTGCTCCGGCTGGAGGGGGAGATGGACACACAGGCAATCATGGTTCACTGTGACTGTGCCATGACGGGGTGAGCACAGAGCAACCTGGGAGCCTGGTCAGGGAGGATTGCGAAGTCTCCTAAAGGAAGCAGAGTAGGAGCTAAGAGCTGACCTAGGATTTATTCACTAATTGAGGAGACCGAAAGTGTTCTAGGGATGTGCAAAGGCCTGAAAGCAAGAGAGAGCCGGGTGCATTAGGGGAATGGAGGGTAGGGTGCGAGAGCGTGTTGGGGGAGGACTGGGGGAGGGGAAGTTTGCTGAGAGGTGAAGCTGAAGACATAAACAGGAGCCACATGATAAAGGGCCTTGAAGCCGCTTAAGGGGTCTGAGTCTAATCTTGAGGATGATCGGGAATCGTTGAAAGCCTTTAAGCATCCCAGGGCTTAAATATAGGATATGATGTGAAGATGTTCACAGGCCCTAGACGCCTTTACTATTGAAGGCCTTGCTTCACATCGCATCAAGCATCCATCAAATGAACCCACATTACAGTTATTTTTTAATAAAAATGTTGAAAGGAGTTTTATAACTCGGATTTGGAATTACTATTAATTTATTAATTTCAAGTTTGTAGATTTCTATTTTGAAGCCAATGACACTTTTGGTGGGTAGGGGGCAGCTGTATAGGGGGCCCTTATACAGCTCACAGATCCCGTGCACTGTGTTATGGTATCAAATGAAAACAAGATAGTGACATGATCAGTTTTATGAATTAGAAAGATCACACTTCAGAAAATAGAGTGCAAATTGCTGTTTAATGGGTATAGGATTTCAGTTTTGCAAGGTGACAAAGTTCCAGAGTTCTACTGCACAACATCAAACACATTGTTAACACGACTGTACTGCACACTTAAAAATGCTTCTGCTGCTAAATTTTATGGTGTTTTTGTTTTTCACCATAGTGGAAAGAAAATAGAGCGGAGATTGGATTGGGAGGATCAGCCCTGGGTTCCCAGCTAGGAGGCAGCTGTAATATATCTGGCAGATGGTCAAGGCTTGAAATAATGAAGGGAGAAAGAGTGAACAGATTCGGGAGAATCAATAGGAATTGCATAGAGGATTTGACAGATGAGGCAAAGGGACATGACAGGGATGGTGCATCAGGTTGGGCAACTAAGCTATGCCCCCCACCAAGCTGGCAACCTGGGAGGAGCAGCAGCCAGTGGGGAGGGAGATGGGGAGCTTGAGTTGAAATGCAAGTGGAACCTACAAGGGGAGGTGTCCAGGAGGCATGTGGAGACCCTGACCTGGAGCTTGGAGGACAACTGGGTTATGGATTTTGATTCGGGAACTCTCAACATTCAGGTAGTAATTGGAAACATGTGAAACGGGGAGGATCATTAAAATGAGGAGACCACCTCTGATAGAGCCCCAGTGAACAGCCACAACTCAAGGAAGGCCAGGGTAGGGCACCCACACGAGTTCCGAGATGGTGTCTCCAGGAAGTGAGACAGGTGGCCAGTAGACCAAGGAGTGTGACCCCATAGCTAAGTCACAGGGCTGCCCAAGGCCTCCATCAGGTATTCACAAGATCTTGGTGGAAATCTCCAGGTGTCGGGGAGAATGTGGAGCCATGAGGGTCAGAGAAGAGATTGTCTTTCCCTTGACCCCTGACAAATGCTCTCTTATTTGGGGTAGGTCAGAACCATGGGGCTTGCTCTTTGATCATGCATTCATTCACTCATTCATTTGGCATTTATTAAGAGCCTACTGCCCTATGTACCCAGCACCACGGATGGAAGGGTGAATGAAGCACAGTCCCTGCCTACATAGGACACACAGTGTCAGGGGAGGTAGATGGTCACACTCCGTAAAATATTCCTGGTGCTATGAAAAATGTCTATGCCGAGCTCAGTCAGGGTGCAAGGTAGAGAGTAGTCACGTCTACCTGTGAGGTGGGAGTATCAGAAAAGGCTTCAGAGGGGAGTTGACCCTAAAACTAAATGTCTATGCTAAGGAGGGGCACTGACCAAGGCATGGAGCTATGAAATGGCCCAGCATAGTCAGGAGCCCCTGCTGAGACCATGAGCCATATTTTGAGATGCCGTCAGTGGAGCTGAATGAACACCTGAAATGACACCATTCACTCTTTTGGTGTCAAGCATCCACCTGACCTGTGTTCTTTTAAAAACACAAACGGTCCGGGAAAAACAACATATTCAGTTACAACATCTCTCTGCCTCATTGATCGGATCCCTTGGCCTTAGGCAGAGGTTCCTGGGGCTCACAGCTCTCAGGACAAGACAGAGCCCACCTCCATCTCCCAACCCCTTCCCCACACTATTGACCAAATACATTATTCTGGACACATGAAGCAGTGAAGGCTGAGAAGAAAAGGTCCTAATTGCCCCTGACCCCAATAGCAGGGTCTGATGGTCTGTCCTTCCCTCGCAACCTCGCAGAAAGGAGTCGGGGTATAATCTGAGGCCTCCATTGGTGATATGCTCAGACTAAGTGGAGGATGAACCTTATTAGATTTTCTAAGTACCATGGTTGCTAAGGAAACTGGTTGTTTTCAAGTCTCCATGTGTAAGTCGGAAGCTTGATTTGTGCCACTCCAGAAGGCTACTGCTACCTCATAATGATTTTCCCATTTGTGTCTGATTCTCCAGCATTAACAATTCATTTCTCTGGGCTAAGCATCATGGGGGCAGGGTGGTGGGAGAGCTGCCTAAAAATACATATGTCCCCAGGAGGTGACACATGCCTCATGGCCATGTTGTTGAGACTGAGTTCATTGAAGCTCTGTTCTCTGTAACTGGAGGGTCTAGGCAGGAAGAGGACCATTGGCTCATGGAAGGGGGAGCTGCTTGAAGGGGGGAAGGGTATAGGAGGGGGAGGGGGACCACCTCAAAGACCCACTTCAGGTTTTAGCCCAGGAATGGAGCTTGCCTTCAAATGAGACCGTTTTATAGGCAGAAGGGAGTGAGAACAAGGACATTATACTAGGCAAAAAAAAGCAGGTTGGTGCTTTCCTTTAGGGGATGGCAGAGGTCTATCAGGCAGATTACTTAACTAGTGCTGATCAGGTGATTCCTGACTGACTGGTTTAAGATTCCATTTCTGGAAGAGCCGCAACTGTAATTAAGTCTTGGTTTGGTGATGTGGGGCTTAGCATAAGTGGCTCCATTTTGGGCCTGTTGTCTTGTTTTTAACAGTTTGTTTCCGTCTTTGTTTGGAGTTAGCAAGGATTCAGGAGTCTCAATCATCTGGATGCTTCATGGATTTTTATAACCATGAAATTATCTTACTTTTATGTGGTGCTTGGAACGTCCCAAGTTTATTCACAACTGCTTCTCACAGCAAGGTTACCTTGTCTTACAGAATTAGAAATGACTGCTCAGAGAGGTTAAATGACTTACTTGAGGCCACCCAGCTGTGAGGGGGCAGCAGTCTTCTCACTCGGGTCTCAGCTCCCTCCCCCTTGTTCTCGCCACCCTAAGTGACAGAGGGGCCCAAGGAAGACACACTCCTGCCCTGTCTCCGCAGGGCCTGGGGGGGCCATGTCCCTCATCCCATGGCTCCGGTGGAACGAGGCTCCGCCACGGCTGTTGTCTCGGAGTCCGGCTCAGATGGTGCCGGAGACGCTCATGGTGGAGCTGGAGGGGCAGATGCGAGAGGCTGAGAGGCAGCAGTGGGAGCGCAGCAATGCCGTCAGGAAGATCTGCACCGGAGTGGACTATAGCTGGCTGGCCAGCGCACCCCGGCCCACCTACGACCTCAGCCCCGGCGAGAGGCTGCAACTAGAGGACGTCTGCGCCAAGATCCACCCATCCTACTGTGGGCCCGCCATCCTCAGGTAACTCCTGGCACTGGGACAGGGACCAGCGGTTGGGCTGCAGGCTCCAGGGAGGGCGGCAGCAGTGACAGGGGCCTGAGGCTACCAGGACTGGAGCCTGGGGCCTGGATGGGACAGGTATCTGTTAAAAGGAGCAAGACAGAGGGAAGAATCTGAAAGAGGCCATGGAAGGCCAGGCCAGGACTCGGGGCTCAGAGGGAGGTGGGAGGCAGCTCCCGGAGGCACGTGAGGTTTTTTGTTTTTGTTTTTGCAGAAAAGAACTCAGGTTTATTTGCAGTAGAAACCGTGGTCTAAAAAATAAACCTACTGGTAAATGTACAGTCTGTGTTCTGTTTGGGGTCACCACTAGCTGCAGAACCCCCAGATCCCTGACCTACATGCGTCGGGCCCCCAAGTGTTCACAGCTAATCTCAGGCCCCAGGTCCGAAGCCTTGCTAGAGGGTGTCCCATCTCCTGCCAAAACACCCACATCCCAGCCTGCGCCCAGCCCGCCTCCCCTCCTGCTTCCAGCAGTGCAAAAAATAACCAAACCAATATGTTTCCCAAACAAAAACAACATGTGAGTTTTGATAGGAGAGAACCCCAGGCCTTCTCGCTTTCTGTTCTCCCTCCCTGAACTGTTGTCATCCTGGTTGTAACGTGGCTGGCTCCCTCTCTTTCAACAGTTCATCTTCCATGTTACCTTCTGAGAGAGGTTTCCCCATATAAGCTCTCCAAAATTGGTTTCTCAATTATCTTATTTCACACTAGCTCGTCTAAGGGATGTGTGTGTGTGTGTGCGCGTGTGTGAAGGTTTCAGAGCCCTAGGGCACTGGACATTTAGAGCTGGAGTACAATCATGTTGCTGCATGTCAGTGTAACCTTAGTAAAGCTGTGACCTACACGGCCCAGTCTCAGTTGGATGCGTGTTGAAATCAAGGAAGCAGAGTCCAAGAGCCAAAAGTAATTTTAAAACTAAAGTTCTTTACCTGCATTTCTCGAACACTAGTAAAGGAATACAGATCCACAGTAAAACATCTTAAAGTCCCCCTTAGTATCCCCAAATCTTCCCTCACCCATCTCTTTAACCAACAGATGCATCTATTGTACACCTTCTTCTTCAAAATTCCCCTAAAAACTCCTCCTTCTTCAGTCCTATTCATCCTTTGGGTTTTGTAGTCTTATACCACCCCCCGCTTCTTCCTCCAGGCTGGGAAACTTACCCTCCCCCATTTTTCTTATTCTGCACCATGGAAGCCCCCCAAATGTATATAGTTCCAGAAGCACCCTGGGGCCAGGGGTGGGGATGGTCATGGGAGTGGTGCTGAGAGAATCTAGGCTGGCAAAGCAACCAAACCTCATACATGAGGGGGAGGCTGCGGACGCTCATGTGATGATTGTCCCATCACATTTCCTGTCTCACTGCTCAAAGGTCTGAGAAGTCCTGACTCTTAATATGGCGGAGGAAATTAGGTATCACACGGACTTGCTAGCTATCCTTCACTCTGGAGCTCCAAGCCAGAGACATGTTTGGCAAAGGAAACAGCTTGGCATCCAGGAGAACCTGGGGCCACACTCCTGGCTGCAACACAGACAAGGGAAGTAGCAGGGAGCCCGGTGTGCATGGCCAAACAGCTCACCCTCACCCAGGAGGTGGCGGGAAGCTATAGAAGGAATATCACATAATCGGACATACATTTCAGAGAGATCATGCTGGCCAGTGAGGGCAGAAGGGTGGGAGAGTGTTAGCCAGAAAAGTCCCAGAGAGCAGTGGGCGTCAGTCGCTACTACTGCATCGATAACCCGAGGTGAGTGCCAGGATCTTTACAGATGTTAGCGCATTAAACCTCACAAAAAGGTAGCTATGATGACCCCAGCTTACAGATGAGCAAGCTGAGTCTCAAGGAGTCTCATGGAGGCCAGAAGTGGAAGAGCTGGAACTCAGGATGGGCTGGAGCACGACGGAGGTGGGGTGGGTTCTGATCCACTTCACAGGAAGTGGGGAAGCGGAGGGGACAGGAATTGTCCACGGGGGTGTCCAGGGACGCCCGTGGGGTGAGACACCGGCCACGTCCCACGCCCGGGCTATAGCCCCACCGCTTCCCCTCTTCTTCTCCCCGCCTCCGCACCCAGGTTCCGGCAGCTGATGGCAGAGCAGGAGCCCGAGGTGCAGGAGGTGTCCCGGCTCTTCCGCTCGGTGCTGCAGGAAGTCCTGGAGAGGATGAAGCAGGAGGAGGAGGCGCACAAGCTGACCCGTCAGTGGAGCCTGCGGCCCCGCAGCAGCCTGGCCACCTTCAGGAGCCGCGCGCGCATCACCCCCTTCGCCAGCGACATCCGCACCATCTCCCAGGACGTGGAGCGGGACGCGCCGCCGCTGCACCGGACCTGGAGCATGCCCGAGTTCCGGGCACAAAAAGAGGACTGACCCCGCCTCTCCTGCCCGGGAGCAGAGCCACCTCTGGGGGGGTGGTGGCGGGTAGGGCATGATAAGCCGGGGTCATCCCGGGTCCTGCAACCTCCCCATCGCCCTGCCCCTGACGCGGGGCCAAAGAGACCGCCCCGTCCCCGGACACTCCCTCAAGATGGAGCAACCCCTCCCCGCCCGCCCTCTCCCACGGACCACGAAGCCTAGAGTCAGGGCTTGGAGCTGCAGCAACAATCTCCTGCTCCCCTGCACCAGTCGGCTGGAGCGGACCCTTCCCCGCCCCGCAGAGATTCAGGGTCTGGGCAGACAGACCACCACCTGCTCCCCATCTTCAGCTTCTGTCTGGAATGGGAAGAGTTGCCCTGCCTTTTGCCAAGTCATGAGCTCTTACCCCAACTTAGGGATGTCCCATTCACCCCCTCTCCCTGGGTAACGATGAGGGGACCTGTTGGCTGGTGTCCATTCTCTGCTGGTGACTGGTCTGTCTCACCGCCGCAGGTGGGTCACAGCCTGGTGGATGGGCAGAGCTGAAAGGGATCACAGGTCCACTCTCCTCAACTAGTGAATGAGGAAACTGAGGCTCAGAAAGGGTCAGGCTTCTGCCACCATTAACTGCAGCCAGATCCCATGGGTGGTGAGACTGTTCCCATACATGTAAGTCTCTGCTCCTGAGTCCTTGAGTCCTGGGCTGTGATGGGACAGGTCCAGTGGCTAATGTCCACCTGCCTGTGGTCTGACCCGTCTCTCTCCTTGGCACTGGTGTGGAGGTCTGCAGTAGCTGGGGACAGAGGTGGGTTGCCATTACCCCACTCCACAGTGTCATCACATGGGAGGTGGCCAGTCCCCAGCAGCTGCCTCCAGAAGCTAAGCTTCAAGGCCTTCTGACTCACTGCTCCAGAGAGCCAGGTCTTTGACTCCAGGGTCCCTTCTCTATCTGGTTGTGCCTGCTCTTTGACTTTCTTCAGAGAAAGTGATGCCCAAAGCTCTAATGACCTCAAGGCACAGAAGTGAAATGTCTGGAACCTCCTTACAGGCTTCACTCTCCTTCCATTTCTAACTGGTTAGATCTTTTTTCGCAGCGAGCGGGGGCTACACTTCGTTGCGGTGAGCAGGCTTCTCACTGTGGTGGCTTCTCTTTGTGGTGGCTTCTGTTGCAGATCATGGGCTCTAGGCGCGTGGGTTTCAGTAGTTGTGGCACGTGGACTCAGTAGTTGTGGCTCGTGGGCTCTAGAGTGCAGACTCAGTAGTTGTGGCACACGGGCTTAGTTGCTCGATGGCATGTGGGATCTTCCTGGACCAGGGCTCGAACCCGTGTCCCCTGCATTGGCAGATGGATTCTTAACCACTGAGCCACCAGGGAACCCCTAACCAGTTAGATCTTGATGATGGGCATGTGGATTATCCAATGTGTGGATCAACAATGGCAAATCTAGAAGCCCAGGCGGCATCCCCACACACTCTGGGCTGAAGCTGGGTGTGGGGGGATGGGTGCAGGCATGTCTGCCCCCAACTCTCAGTGCATGCTCAGAAAATGCAAGTGAGTCTTAATGTTAGTCTAAATAAAATGCCAGGAGGAGACAAATCAACAGGGGGAAAAATCTATATATTCCCTGACAAAGCTTAGTAGGAAAAAAATTTTTTTTAATGATCTTGTTTTGGATATTTTCACTCATATCTGGACAGAGAATCATAGGATGGTGGAAAACCTCTCATCCAACACCATCATGATGAAGGAGTTGATTGGCTCATTAACACGATTAGTGAAAGTTGAGAATCACTTAAATAAACATACACACCTTAAACATCTCATATATTCTAAGACACAAATAAGTTCATTCAACTGCCAAACTTTTAATGTAGGTGCAAGCTGTGTTCACTTTTTTGGTGACATGTGTGGGTTGTCTGACAGGAGCTCTGCACTTAAGTTTTATTGGCTGGTGTGTACTTTAACTGTAACAACAAGAACAACTGGTATAAACAAATTTTTGGCCTCCCATGAAAGCCTTTCCTGCCCACCTCAGTCAACTCAGACAGACCCCCACCAGCTTCAGACTCCAGTCAGCCTACTGCAGGGAATCCCAGCTGGTGGCACTCAAACCCATGAGGTTACTCCTCTGGATTCAGGTCATTAAAGGGAGTAATGAGGCCTCAATTTCTAGTCTTACAAGCCCAATAACAACAAATGAAAAGAACAAAACAGTTTGAGAGCCTCCTTGTCAGTGTGAGAGTGGCTGGTGGCAGTTGGAGGGGATGTGTTGAGCGCTCCAGACTGGGTAGTCTGTTTGCACTCGGCTCAACACCACTGGCCACTAGAGGGAGCCAGTGGGTGTGGGACCACTCCATGATTACATTTTCTTTTGCTTTGTGGTTTCTTTTTTATTCACTTGTTTCGCCTTATGAACATTTTCAGACACAGAAAAGTAGAGGGGAAAGTGTAGGGAGTTTCCATATGCCCATCACCAAGGTTTAAACGTTATTAACATGTTGCCGTATTTGCTTTTCTATTTTTTGGTGAAGTATTTTAAAATAAATCCTAGACATCATAATACTTTACCCCTGAATACTTCAGGATACACTGCAAAAGAATAAGAAAAATTTCCTGTGTAACTACAATGCAATACTATCACTCCCCCCAAAATTAACAGTAATTCCTTAGTATCATCTAATACCCAAACCATATTCAAATTTCTCTATTCCCAACCAATGATCTTTGCAGTTTATTTCTTTGAATGAGGATCTAATCAAGCCCCACATATTGACAAGAAAGCTGTAGTTTGTTTTATTCTTGGTCATATAGTGTTTAATTCCACAATGAAATGTTGTTTTAAAAGAGGGCTTATGAAACATGAGTGTTAGTATGCAATAAGTTAATGGCTGCACATAAATGATAACAATTCTGCAAATTAGCCTAAGGATGCTCTTTACTCAGACCCTTGGTTTTTTCATTTGATTAAAGTTCTTCCAGAGCAAGCAAAATTCTCTAATACCCTGAAAAGTAACATCAAAAATCAATATAGGGCTTCCCTGGTGGCGCAGTGGTTGAGAGTCCGCCTGCCGATGCAGGGCACACGGGTTCGTGCCCCGGTCCGGGAAGATCCCACGTGCCGCGGAGCGGCTAGGCCCGTGAGCCATGGCCGCTGAACCTGCGCGTCCGGAGCCTGTGCTCTGCAATGGGAGAGGCCACAACAGTGAGAGTCCCGCGTACCGCAAAAAAAAAAAAAAAAATCAATATAGACAGTATATCTAATTTGACTTTTCATTTGGTGAAAATACTCTTCACATCTATGTGTCTTATTTTTTTTTAATTTATTTATTTATTTTTGGCTGTGTTGGGTCTTCGTTGCTGTGTGCAGGCTTTCTCTAGTTGCAGCGAGTCGAGGCTACTCTTCGTTGCGGTGCGTGGGCTTCTCATCACAGTGGCTTCTCTTGTTGCAGAGCACGGGCTCTAGGCATGTGGGCTTCAGTAGTTGTAGCACACGGGCTCAGTAGTTGTGGCTCGCGGGTTCTAGAGCGCAGGCTCAGTGGTTGTGGCGCATGGGCTTAGTTGCTCCGTGACATGTGGTATCTTCCCGGCCCAGGGCTCGAACCCGTGTCCCCTGCATTGGCAGGCAGATTCTTAACCACTGCACCACCAGGGAAGCCCTATGTGTCTTATTTTTTGAGACATGCATGCAAACAGCAACTGAAAACCTTCTCCTCTTTTCTTGCCATTTAGAAACAAAACACTAAAATTTATCAAAATAACTCGAGGGAAATCTCAAGAATTCTATATAGTAGGTAGTGAAAAAACTTTACCTGTTTTTGATGCCATCATTCAACACTAGTGAAATTTCAGTCTGTCTTAATATTCATGTGGTTCCCCAACGAAACACAATAGGTTATTTGAAAATTTATTCAACAACAAATCATTTTTAGACAGTTATTTTAAATCAGTTTAACACGTTGCTTCATTTGTTAAATAGAGAGATTGGCATCTGTTTCCTTATGAATATTACTACCTATTGTATTAAATTAGCATTATTGTATTTCGTAAGATGATAATCTAAAAATAAAAACACTGACTACAAATCATGACTTTATCATAATCAAGGCAAAAACAGCAAAATGATTTTTTAAAGTTTCTAAAGATGTCCAAGAGTGTTTGTATTACAGAGAAAGGCATTCAAAAGCTAAGAGAAGTTGGAGTGTTTTCTAGCACACTTGACTGTGTTGCATTCCAGTTACAAATCCCTTGCTGGAACAAATGAAACATTCCCAAAGCCCTGCAGTCAAGCTTGGAAGTTCTCTAGCCCGGTCTCCCCTCCCAGCTAGCATTTGGTGTGTGGGGAGAATTCCATTCCAGGAACAAGTCATTCCTCTCCGTGTAGCCAAGTCCTGAAGCTAACTGCTTAGAACTACTTCTGGCCCTTGCTTGGGGCTGTGGACCTCTGTGAGGCTCTCACTAAGGTATCCAGGCTCTAGAACACAGGGCAGAGTGGATTGAGGTTAGCCTCTCTTTTAGTAGAAAAAAAATCAAGCCAGTAGGAAATTAAGCTGCTCCAAAGTGCAGCTTCAGGGATGGGAGAAATACATCTTTTATTCAAGTGAGCCAGTCCAACAATATTGCTATGGACAGAAACGGCTTTGTCAGCAAGAAAATTCCTTTAATAATTAACATTTGAATGGTCCTTTACAGTTTACCCACCTCATCTCATTTGTTCGTGACCCTGTGGTGAGGTGCATTATGTTTTATCTTAGGTTACAAGCAAGTGGCCCACGTGGACTGGAAGCCAGGCTTCCTTCCACATGCCTCACTGCTTCTCAGCGTTATAGATCCTACCTGCACTCAGAACAGCCCCCAAAATCCTCATCACTGTACTTACCACACAGTGATGGAAGTGTATGTGGTTCATTCCTCCCCTTCCCTGCCAGGCCACTGCCTCTAGTAGTTTGTGAAATCCTTAAGTGCAGGAACCAGGTCTTTCATCTCTGGGTCTCTACCACCTTCTGGGCACAGAGTACGTACTTTAAAATGTGCCTTAATGCATGGGTGCATGTGAACACCAACTTGGAGCTCACACAGGACAGGGGCTGAGTGAAGCTGCAAGTGAGAATTGAGGGGTTTATGATGTATTGACATCATTCATTAGATTGTTTGTTCTGTGAGGCCAGGGTCCATGTCTGACTTGAGTTTGTATCTCCCAAGATATGCCAGGCACATAGTAAGTGGTCAATGCACTTCTTAAGAATCCATTCATTCATTCATCAAATATTTACTGAGAGCCTCTGTGTGTAGTCACCATAAAGGAGATGGGGCAGGGGTGTGGTTACCTGTAGGTGTTCCAGACAGACAAGACAAAACAGCTTTTGACTCTTCTCTGAATTACTCTGGAAGGCTTCCTAGAGGAGGTGAGATTTCCCAAGGGCACTTTTGATCAAAATGACCTAGGCGTGTGTGGTCTTGAAATGAATCCAGAGTGCTATAAAGACGGCCCTCTGGATCCATGGGCTTCACATCCCCAGGTTCAACCAACCATGGATCTGGGGGAAAAAAATTCCAGAAATTTCCAAAAAGCGAAACTTGAATTTGCCACGCACCGGTAACTATTTATGCAGCATTTACCTTTCGTTTACAACTATTTACACAGCAGTTACATAGCACTTACAATGTATTAGGTATTATAAGTAATCCAGAGATGATTTAAAGTGTGTTACATTTTATGCGAATACTATGCCATTTTGTATAAGAGACTTCAGCATCCACAGATTTGGGTATCCCTGGGGGTCCTGGAACCAACCCCTGGGGAAACTGAGGGACGACTGTAATCCCTTATTTTGCCAATGCCCTTCCTTGCTCAATGTGGGTCTTGAGAGAGACACTTCTACTAAACATTTTGACCTTCCTAGAAACAGATTCTCTGTGGAGAGAGAGGATCAGGGAAGGACTCTAGAAATACTGTCCTTTCCCTGTGCTCAGGCCTAGATCAGCTCTAGTCAGGTTGACCAGATAAATGCTTACATTAATTCTTTCTGGGAGCCAGAAGATGACACAGAAATGACCAGGAACATTTCCCTAAGGGAAGCCACAGAGTGCCACGTAATCCAGTCACCTCCATTAGGGGTTGGAGAGAGGGGTACATGTGTGATTCAACCTCTTTGGTGAAACCTTGATTTTGTCTGGAGGTGAGGGCTGGGTCGTATGCAGAGATATTGGGGCAGGGCTGGAGCCTTTGGAGACGGCTCTTTGGAGCAGGCATTCGTTGTGGAACTGAGAGGAGGGGGTTAGGTGACAGCATGCGTGTGCCCCACTTTAGGCAAACTCAATTTAGGAGAATCTGTGCTTTTGAAAGGAATGGTTCTTGGCCTGACAAAACGATTCCCCATGGAGTTCCTTAAAGAGTAAGTACTGAAAATAGGATCTAATTTACAAAGAACTAAAGTATACACAAACTTGGGAAACATATCTCTTGCCAAAAGACATATACATCTCTAGGTAGATTCATAGAATCCTAGAAACCAAAGAAGGCTCCAGAGCTCAGCCGGGCCCTGCCTACTGACTGCCTCCAGGCAATCAGCATCTAGTGGCATCCACTGTATACAGAGCTCCACCCTAGGACTCAGGAACACACTGCAGAGTTCTTATCATTTACAAAACTGGAGAGCTTACAGCCTCTTGGCAACAGAGTCTAGTGCGATCAGGAGTTTTAGTTGATGGTGAGAGAAATCCAGATCAAACTGGCAGAAGCACCAAAGGGCATCTGTAACCCCCAGGGCCAGCACTGTGGGTGTGTGACCTGTGCAGTCATACAGGTCCCTGCACGCAGAAAGGCCCCTTATTTGGTTTAATGCATTGCTGTCACTGTCTTGAAATTCATAATTTTTTAATAGGGGCTCCTGGGTTAATTTTGCACTTATGTAGCTGCAAATTGTGTGGCTGGTCCTGATGGCATCCACAACTGAGAATCCCAGGGCTGTCAGTGACCAGAGGCGCTCATGCAGCACAATGTATTCTCCCTCCTCCCCCCCCCTTCTCCTCCCTGACCCCTTTCTGCTTCTTTTCTTGCTCTCCCTCTCCTGGCTCTGCCTCCCTCTGTGTGGTGGTTTACTTTTCTTCTAGGAGGTCACACTTCCCCTCTGCATCCAGGAAAGATGGCTGCTGGTGCTCCAGGCTGACATGACCCCAGTTTAGCACCTCAACCTCCAGATACCAATCCCAGAGAAAGGCCCTGTGGCAGAGCCTGGCTAGCTGGTCACCAAGCCTGCTTCTTCCTTCTCTTGGGATCACAACTAGATGGCATTCAGCCTCCCCTGCCATGTCAGTGAGTCTGGCCAATGGAATGTGAGCAGATGTGGAAGGCTCCACTTCTCATTTGGTCCATAAAAACCTCCCCAAAGTGATTCTCTGTCCTCTTTTCCCATTTTCTAGCTGAACAGAGAGGGTTCTGAGGCTCCCAAAGAGAGGAGAGCCACAGGATGAAAGGAGCCTGGGTCCCTGAATGACCACATGGAAGGCCACATTGGACTTACGTGAATTACAAATACACATTTATTTGTTAAACCACTGAGATTTGGGGGTTTTCTTTGCGGACGCTAGGGTTACTGATCTGTGACCAACACACACTGTGATAGCACCTGCTTGGGATGCATGCCACCCTTGGACCAGTTACCATTGCTGGTGATTCATGAGCCCACCTGAGGGCCTGAAGCACAAGAATGCAGCTCCACTAGGATCACATGAAGTGAAAAGGGGGGCTGCTGTTGCTAAAAGAAAGCGGATGGGAAAATACGTAAGATGTTCTTGCAAAAAAACAGCTTCCAGGGCTTCCCTGGTGGTGCAGTGGTTGAGAGTCTGCCTGCCGATGCAGGGGACACGGGTTCGTGCCCCGGTCCGCGAAGATCCCACATGCCGCGGGGCGGCTGGGCCCGTGAGCCATGGCCACTGAGCCTGCGCGTCCAGAGCTGTGGTCCGCAGCGGGAGAGGCCACAACAGTGAGAGGCCCGCGTACTTTAAAAAAAAAAAACAAAACAGCTTCCAAAGTTTACTCTAGCTGTGAATGAGAGCAACCTAATATCTCAGAGACCCATTCTTTGCAAATTTGAATAGCTTATATTAAAACGGCTTTCCTTGTTACTGACTCTTGTAAGATCATTTTAGTTCTTTCAAAGAACTTAATATTACCTTCAATCCCATACTGAGGTAATTCAGAGTCCCGCCTCCCACTTTATTCTTGTTTCAAGGGCCACATATAAGGTTCCAGCTGAAGGGCTCATGCATGAGAAAGTTAGAAAGTTCCTTCGCTTATCTAACCTTCTGTTGACATAGTAATCTTCTGCCCTATGTACACAGGAAAAAATAAAGCGATAACCACTGCTCTTTGTCACTCATATGAAGACAGCTCCCTGTTATCTGCTTTCTGAGGAACTTTTCATTTTGGTTGGTTTTTTTCTCTGTCACTTCATCTTCTCTTAAAAGGTTTCCTATCTTTTACCCATGAACAGACTTTGTTCTGGGGAGGACAAAGGAGTTTAATAGTGCAAATAAAACTGTTTGGACTTTTGGGCTGCCAGAAATTCTGGATAATGGTTCTCCCAAAATGGTTCTCCCACTTATGTCTTTGCAAATCACTCAGCTCTCTGAGGCTCCTGTTTCTCCTGTAAGCATGGTTACCCTGCCTACCTCCCAAGATTGTGGAGAGGTTAAAATAACATCAAATGCTTTGCAAACTATAAAAGAACTTTCAAATGTAAGATCTGACAGGTGTTCATGACAGTCTTCCCTTCAATTAGCACAAATACCAGAAAGTTGATGGGAGACACTGAAGAGTAGTTGTCGCCTTCCTGCCTCTGGAATAGCCAGATCCGGTCCTTTAATCATTGTTCTTGAGCCCAATTTCCCCAATCTTTTAGATCTGTGGTTCTCAAGCTTGGCTGCACATCAGATCACCCAGGAAGCTTTTAAATACTCTGGCACCCAGCTGCACTCGAGAGCAAGTAAATCAGAAACTCGGGATGGGAGCCAGGCATCAGTTTTTCTAAAGCTCTCCAGGTGAGTCCATTGTGCAGCCAAGGCTGAGAACCACTGTTTTAGGTTACTCTTTCTGGGGGACTCAGGAAATTCTCTGTTGTCACATCTTGAATCTATCTGAATTTACCACATGCCTGAATGGTTTCATCTCAATAGAGGATGGATGTGCACTTTGGAGAAATTACCATGACCTATGTTATCTTATGTTAGAGACAGATGGTTGCAAGGTTGCTTATCCATAGATGTTTATCATCTTTGCTTAGCAGCATCAGGAGATGCTTGGAGATGAGATGAGATGTATCTTGTAAAGAGTGCTGCAAATACCATTTTATAGCAGCTGGAAAGATGGAGAAGATGACGGAATCAGCACTGTTTCTTATAAACCTGGAAGAATACAATTGTGTAGGATGACAATTATCTGGTGTCTGTTGTAGAAACTATTCATGTGGCTGTATGAGAGAGAGAGAGAGAGAGAGAGAGAGAGAGAGTTGGAATCTAGTAGGCGGGAGGGAGTGGCTGGGGAGCGGAGCTACTGACCCTTTCTTCTCTTCTTGTGACTAGTGTCATGACCATGAGGCAGCTGGCAAAGGTGAATGGGAGGGTGGGGCTGCTGTCACTGGTGTCACACTCTGATCCACTGGGCAGTCTTCAGACACAAGCCAGTCCTGGGAACCAAGCTCCTCATGTGCAGAAGGTCCCATGAAGGCCCCCTGGTGGTCATGGGAGGCTCAGCTAGAGGGCCCATCCAGCTGGCTGCCGGGTCCCCACGGGTGAGCAGTGCACTGGTCCTCCCAGCCCCACGCAGCCAGGGCACCCCCATCGGCAAGTTTGGGCAGCATCCCATCCTCTCCCAGCTGCACAAGTGCGGCATCTACCGTGTCATCTACAAGCTGCGTGACCTTGGCCGGTTATTCACCCTGGTTGAGTCTCAGTTTTCTCATTTGAGTAGTAATATTTCCATGACGTTGTTGTGGTGGGATGAGTTGAGATTAAGGCACACGAAGCGCCTGCAACCAGAAGGGGGTTATTCCCTGCATCCCACCCCACGTGTTCAGAGGCTCCTTGCTGGGACATGTGGCACGTGTGTGCTCTTGCTCTGCACCTGCTCACCTAACCTCTGGGTCCCCAGGGCCCGTCGCCACGGCATAGGTTCTGTTCTCCAGCTCTGTTCTGGGAGCCTCCTCTTAACAGCACATCACATTTTCTTCTTTCCGTCCACTTTCTCATTTGACCTTCACACCAACCCTGGGAGGTAGACAAGCCAGCAGCACTGTTTCCAGTATCCCCGGGACCTCAGTGACTTGGCCAACTTCAAATGGCAAACTACCGCCAAGGGCAGCAAGGAAACCACCTGCCTGCCATCTTGGGACACTTACAGCGTGTGCCAGGCACCAGCACCTCACTGACCCTCACAAATGACACAGCCAGATAGGCACCTTTCTTCCCACTTTATGGATTAGGAGGCAGAGTTTTAGATCGTTCATGACGTTTCCAAGGTCATACCAGAACGTGAACC